TGTTTTTATACATTCATCCCAATTGACAAGCATCCAGATCAACTTGTCCCGTCCACGGTTGGATTGTAGCTCCTTATATTGATGGTGCTTCATAGCTGAAAATTTCGGAGTTAATCCCTGTATTTGCGATGAAGATTTTGCAAGCTGCAACTTTTTCCTTTGAAAACGTGATGACGGACGTTTTTGAGAGTTTGAATGTCCAGTAATAGGGAATAGACGAAGAAAAAGAGAATAAATCCTCTTGCAGAGATGGTTAAGGAATGCAAGAGCCGTACTAAAATTGGAAGCGAGTATGTTTTGCCTGTTAATTCAATAGGTAGGGTGAACGCGCAATTATGATCTTTGTTTTATTAAAGGAACTTTTCACATCTAATTTCTGTTCCAGGGCCAGAAATAAACGGAAATAGACACCTTCCTTGCCTTGTTAGTTGAATTTTTTTTTTAAAAAATGCACCCTTCCACCTTTCAAATGTAGCCGCCCTCTGGAATTTGCCGCACCCCCTTCAACCAGCAGGCATTTTCGACTTGATACATGAAATCTAGAATCAAAATTACAAAGGAATTGATGCATCTCACTCGCCTTTTTCGTAAAAATCTAAAAAATGCACCCCTATTGCCTCTCAAATTTAGCCGCCCCCTTGAATTTAGAGCACCGCCTTTCGCCGGGGAGCTATTTTGACATCAATAATGAAATTCACGACCAAAATTATCCAGGAATTGACGCACCACACCCGCCTTTCTACGTAAAAATTTAAAAAATTGCACCCCTACTGCCTCTCAAATTTAGCCACCCCCTTGGATTTAGACGCCCCCTTTGACCCGGGAGCTATGTTGACATCAATAATGAAAATCACGACCAAAATTATCCAGGAATTGATGCACTACACCCGCCTTTTCACGTAAAAATCTAAAAAATGCACCCCTCCTGCCTCTCAAATTTAGCCGCCCTCTTGGATTTAGAGCACTCCCTTTGACCAGGGAGCTGTTTTGACATCATTAATGAATTGATGTAGGAAATGATACCTCACTTGCCCAATCATGTAAAAGTTAAAAAATAACTTCCCTTGCCTTTCAAATTTAGTCGCCATCTTGGATTTGGGGCACCCCTTTTGACTTCATATATGAAATCTGTGACCAAAGTTACATAGGAAAAGATACCTCACATGACACTATAGGAACATTTTAAAAAACCGAAATCCCATACGGCCTTAATATGGCCGTCATTTTGATTTTAGGCATTTTAGGGGGGGCTCAGGGGTCGGACCGTGATAAACTTTTAGTATGTTGTTCAGGAGGATCTACTGACGACGTTTACATAGGAAAAGTGTGTAATGCAATTTGTTCCGAGTCAAACAGTATTTCTCTCTGACTAACGAGATAGAGATAACATTTTTACAGGGTGATCCAAAATTCCCTTCCACCCCCTCTAACTTTTTACCTAATTAAGGTAAAGATTTGAAACTTGAGGGATATTCCTAGGTCAAAGGGAGCTACTTTTTGGCCCCCCTAAAATTTTCAGGGGGGCCCCCCTTGGGGGGCAACGGCCCCCAACTTTTAATTTTCAAATGGGAAGACCCCCTTTGTGATAGCTCGTTCGAAAGAGCATAAAAAAGAAAACTTTTCGCGCAAACCCGAAGTCAATATCTCAAACCGTTTCAAAATGGCGGCCGGTTAAAGTTCAAAATGGCCGAAAATTCACACCGATTATTTGTCGATGGAGTTGCGCGAAAATCGCTATAGAGGGGTATTTTGACACGAGAAAAACGAATTTGACGTTAGATTTTCAAAAAAACCGAAATTTCCAAAATGGCCGCCAGTTAAAGTTCAAAACGACCAAAATTTGATTTTTTTATAAATCTAAGCTCAAATTTGTTTATCTTATGCCAAAATACTCTCAAGTTCCAAGTTTTAGGCAAATCCATCAGGAAAAAACCGAGGTGAAAATTTTCGGCCATTTTAAACTTTATTCGGCGGCCATTTTGGAAATTTCGGTTTTTTTTTTAAAATCTAACGTCAATTTCGTTTTTCTCGTGTCAAAATACCCCTCCATACCGATTTTCGCGCAAATCCATTGACAAATAACCGGTGTGAATTTTCGGCCATTTTAAACTTTAACCGGCCGCCATTTTGAAACGGTTTGAGATATTGACTTCGGGTTTGCGCGAAAAGTTTTCTTTTTTTATGCTCTTTCGAACGAGCTATCACAAACGGGGTCTTCCCATTTGAAAATTAAAAGTTGGGGGCCGTTGCCCCCCAAGGGGGGCTCCCCTGAAAATTTTAGGGGGCCAAAAAGTAGCTCCCTTTGACCTAGGAATATCCCTCAAGTTTCAAATCTTTACCTTAATTAGGTAAAAAGTTAGAGGGGGTGGAAGGGACTTTTGGATCACCCTGTATAATTGTGGCAACAAGGGATAGGGGTGGAAGGAGAGGGAGGGGGTGTTCTCATACTTTTATTAAACAAGTAGATACTCCCAAATTCATAATTATATGTTAAAAGTAAGATCCTGGAAAGATTTTAGATTTTAACAAGTGGCTACACGTTGAGTCGGAAGGATCTGCCGCTCTCGCGCGGAAAAAAAAATCCCGGGTTTTTTTGCGCGTAGTTTGGCGACAAATCATCGTACTTTCGTTAATATACCGTTTTAAAGCTTAAATAATATTCTACAACTTTTGAAAAAGGCATTTTTCCCGATTTCTAACGATTTGGGACCTGAAATCAGCTTTAAAGATTTTTAAAAAACAAATTTTCAATTTTTCGTAAATTTGACAACTAAGGTAATTTTTTTCCCGAATTTAGTTGTCGTTAACATGTGTCTGACTCAATTTCTGACAATTTAAAAAAAACGACCTCTATACGATAATTTGATGCCAAGTTATGTGCGTTTAAAAAATGGTGAATCTTCAGGGACTTCTCTGATTTTTCAGGACTTTCCGCGTGTCGGAAAGTTGGGGAATTTTCAGAAACTACATTCCTACTGGGGTAGATTAACGCCCTTTAGTTGGAATTTGCTTCCGATTTTTTCCCACCTAAGAAGCTAGATTGCCTGGACTAATGGGAACAGCCAGATTAACATGGAGAAATATATAATTCCCATTTTGTGTGTGTATATATGTATATATACATATGTGAAGCTCAAAACTGGGGAAACAAGGATAAAATTACACACATTAAAATTCAGACGTTTCTCTGCAATCCTGGAGCGAAACAAATTTAATTTCTCAATTTGAATGTGTGTAATTTTAGCCTAAATTCAGCCAAGGCTAAAATTACACAAAAAATCTAGATGCTTCTCTCCAATCTTGGAGTGAAACAAATTTAATTTCTCAATTTTAATGTGTTTGATTTTAGCCTTGCTTTCCCATTTTGGTGTTTGACATATGTATAATTACTTTAGGCTGCAATAGTGTTATTGTTTATCCATGTATCACTGGGTTTCGTGTGTTTTACTTTTCCTCAAGATCATGTTATTTAAATTTGTTCAGAGGATACACGGACCACGTACAGTTAACATCTCAAAGGATCTCACCTCCTTCAGAAGGAAATTGCTTCAAAATAAAAAAAAACCCTACCTCCTTCCTACTTTTCGAGCAGTCATATGTTTATGATTTTAAGTTCTCCTTTTAAAATTATGGACTGAAAATGCTCCAATCATGGAGCTAAACGTCTCAATTTTAATGAGCGTAATTTTAGCCTTGTTTCCCCAGTTTGATCTTTCACATATGCAAAAATATTTCGGGCTACCCTAGTGTTACTGCTTTCCTTATACAGGGTGTCTCAGGAAAAAGGAGCCACCTTGAATATCTGCCCAACGCGCCGGAATTTCGAATAACTGTAAAATACGTGTTCGTTTATATCGAGGGGGACACCTTTGGGTGTATTTGGCATTTTCCTGAACCGCGGGAGGGGCGCAGGGCAGGGTGTGTGTGCCTGTGCCCTACCCTTAAGTTGAACTTTTCAAATGGCACCCCTACTTTCTTATTTCAGAAAACAATTCTACACAAAAAAAAACAAGCCACGTTGTCCAAACCGAACGTAAACCGGACAATTTTTCAGTGACTGGCACAGGTTGAAACATTTTTTTCATGCTCTTTTCAAAAATTTCCAACGCCCAATGGCATTGCCACATCAAACCAAACTCACGGCTTACCGAACATTTCTGAGGGGCCCTCATCCAGAGGGAGTAGTAAGTTTTAGACAAGAATTATTACTCTTTTTTCTGAAGCATAAGAAATTGTGTCCATAAAGAAACAGCTAAGTAGAAAAACAACGCACCGCAGAAAAATAAATTAAGGTCGGGCTCAAATCATTGAAACCCACCCCAAGATAGCTGATCCATTTGTTTTTCTCCTTAGCTGTTTCTTCAAGAACACAGTTCCTTATATTTCAGAAAAAATAATAATAATTCTTATCTAAAACTTACTACTCCCTCCCGATGAGCGCCCCTCGGAAATGTTCGGTAAAACGAATTTTAATGTCGCAAAGAGGGGCTTCGTGTGCTCCAGATTTCGAGTACAGTGGATTTTTTTTTTTTTTCTTTTTTTAATCGGAAGTGCAATGTTTAAGAATTTTTTGGCCCAGAGTTTCGTTTGATACGGCAATTCCATTGGGCGTGGAAGAACATGAAAAAAATGTTTCAACCTCTGCCAATCACTGAAAAATTGTCCGATTTACATTTGGTTGGAAGAGTGTGGCTTATTTTTGCGTAAAATTGATTTCTGAAAGAAAAAAGTAGGGGTGCCATTTGAAAAGTTTGACTTAGGGGTGGGGCAGCCTCCGCCCCGTGCTTCTCCCGCGGTTTAGGAAAATGTCAAATACGCCAAAATGTGTCCCCCTGCATATAAACGAACACGTCTTTTACAGTTATTCGAAATTCCGACTTGTTTGGCATATATTCAAGGTGGCTCCTTTTTTGTGAGACACCCTGTATACATTATGTGTATTCCCATGTAAATTATTGAATTATTTTCATGGGATTATTGATATGATTTAAGTTTATTACCTGGGCACCGGAATCTAAAAGTAGCTTGGCCACCTCCACATGACCATCCATGGAGGCTTCCATTAAGGCAGTGTGCATCTCATCAGTTTTATGTTCCTGCAAAAATTAAAATAAAAAGAGAGAGCTTCAAGGTAAATGTATAAAGAAATACTGTTCTTGGGCTTTTGTAATATACCTGAATAGCACAATGCTAAAAAAATCGATAATCAGAGTCCCTGATGTTAAGAAAATAATAATCAAGTTTAGACCTATGTAATGGCAAACCCCCCACCCTTGGGTAGAGCAAAAAACACATTTTTGGGAAAACGCTCGACGGATAGGGCTAAAAACGTGCTACATAGAAAATAAATGAACAAATGTTTTTCTTTTTTCAAAATTTTGACTATTTTCCCCTGCACCGAGGCTCTAAAGTTGCCAGTTTCACGAAAAATCACTCTAATATCAAGTGTAACACCTTGTTTTCACCTGTACTCAACTGTTTTTCAGTAAGCCACATAAACTGAGTCCGTTGAGGATCATTAAAACACTCCAAAAAATTTCAATCCTTCCAAATTATGATAATTTTCCAAAAAAAACCCATTAATAATATAGGTTTTTTAAAGATTTTATCAGATCTGTAGGAACGCCTGAAAAACATTAACATTTATAGTATGACAATTTCTAAAGCTATAATTCTAGAAACAAGTATAGTTTTTCATCTAGGAACAATGCAAGGTTGCCTCATCTAATATTAAAAATCATGAAAATCGCGGCTCTTCTGCCACGGTTTGCTTTATATAGCTTCAATTTTTTTAAAGACCACCCGTGATTACCCTTTTTCATGAAATTGTTAGAAAAGGTCTTCAGGTTGAAAAATTAAAAACCGGTAAATCGTAATTGGGGCGGTTTTATTTATTTATTTTCGGGTTTTTCCAATTTTAAGGGTTTAGTCAGGGGGCATGTATCATTCCGTGTGCACGTTCGTGATACAAGTTGCCACCATTGCTTAAACTCTTTATTTTGGTCCTTAAAATGAGAAAATCTTTGGTGGACTCCCTGATTTTAATTAGAAGGCCCCCAGCCCGAAACAAGATGGCGGCTCAAAATTGAAATTTTGATATAACAGCACCATATGTCGAGAGAGGTATTGATTCTCATGTTTTTTAGGTTGTAGATTCCAAAAAAAATGTCAGATAGACCCCTTAACCCACGGAAATGCCCAAAATCCAAGATGGCGGCCGAATTTGGCTCTTCAGCGACCAAACCGTCAAATGCGGCGCAGTGAGAGGAGTAAACACTCTAGATACATGTTTTCTGGGTTGCAGATTCCAAAAAAAAGTAAAGAGAACCATTGCATGCCGTATAGTCCTGATTTGGTCCATGTATGGGCCAAAATTGACCCCCATTTGGGCGAGACAGTTCCTGATACTCTATGGCAAAAGCACTGTTCAATGAAAAAAAAAGACAAAATATTGTCTCCCGGCCGAGATAAGGCCATCCTGGCGTATCCTGGGGATGAATCCGAATATGACCGTCGTTTTCTTCCATTACCCTCCAATTCTCCGGAAAAGCCGATTTATCTGGAAAAATTGTCATTTTTGATGCTTTTAAAATTGTTACTCCTTGCAGAATATAGGTGAATGTAATCTCAGATACAAGATAGAGCTAGTCTGATGTATTTTAAGCCAAGGAGTCTGAAAATGGCCTTTATTCTTACCTTTCACTGCTCAGTTTTCTGGAAAAGCTATTTTTTCCTGGGAAAATGAACAAATTTGACGTGTATTTGTCATGTATGCAATTTATTTTTATGAATTTTCCTGGACCCATGGCAGAAGGATGCTGATGTATTTGAAGCTGTTGAATCCTAATATGACCTTGATTAATTTTCATCACCCTCCAGTTTTCCGGTAAAGCAAGTTTTTCCTATCCTAAATTTGTGTAAAAACTTTCCTTGACTCATAGTCTATCAAGAAGACATCTTAAAACTGTCTTCGATGTGTGATACATTGATCCTTTAGTATTTTGAACTGTTGAACCCAAGTATAATCTCAGATTTTTCCTGTCACCCTCCATTATCCCGGAAAAGTCAATTTTCCTCGGAAAACGAGCTTTTCTGATAATGTCGGTAATTTTAAAGGAGTTTTAGAAAATTCTGAGATTCTCTTCAGGTCTCTCCTGATGTATTAAGAGCCACTGTACCCGAATTGGCCCTCCACTTTTCCTTGACTACCCCCTTGTTTGCTAGAGGGTCCAATTCTTCCGGGCCAAAAGCTTTTCCAGACCGTTCCCAGTTCCAGGGAAATTTAAAGCTTTTCCGCATGTGTAATTATCGATTGTAATTTAAGCTGAACTGTTGAATCAGAATACGATCACAGATTTTTTCCTATCACCCACAATTATCTCCGAAAAGGCAATTTCCCTCAGAAAATGAGCTTTTTCACCTAGAGCACATGTTGAAGGAATGGAAAAGGAAGTGTACTGGTATAGGCGTTCCACTCTCTGTTAGACGGACCCTTTTACTCTATGCCTTGCCGATGACGAGATTGTTACAGCTCAAGATGAAGAGGATGCAGATTACATGGTGCAGAGGTTGGTAGAAGAATATAGGAAATGGGGCTTGGATCTTAGTGTAAGCGAGATGGAAAAGTTAGTCGTAGAGCAGCACATCAACGGCAAAGCATAGAACTTGAGGATGGATGGTGCATCGAAGAGTGTGACGAGTATAAGTACCTCGGTGTTTGGCTAGATCAGGATGGAAGGATGGATCAGGCCATTAAGAACAGGATGATCAAGGGCAGGAGAGCCATCGCGATGCTGTGCAAGATGCTCCGGGATCAGAGAATTTCAAAGGCAAACAAGCACCGGATATACAACGTCACAGTGAAAAGTATCATTCTCCAAGGTAGTGAAATGTGGCCTTCGATGAAGCAAACGCAAGATATGTTGAGGGCAAATGAAATTGATTTTTGGCAGTGATCTGCCGGTATCTCGAGAGGGGACCGCGCCCGTGATGAAAAGAATTAGGTGATATAGGTTAAAAATGATAACCTGCCCTAAGTCATGTCCAAACAGTTAGTGTAGTATGGACATGTGCAAAGAATGTCAGATGATAGGTTGCCCAAAAAAGTTTTGGATTGGGTACCACCTGGAAAAAGGCGATGGGGACGCCCCATGATGGGATGGCGGCAGGGCGTTGGTGGGGCGAGAGGTATGTATGAATACACGTATGTATTATGAGTTTCCGAGTCCGAAAACGGTCTCCGTTAATTTCTATCACTCCTCAGTTTTTAGAAAAGACACTTTCTTCTGGGCAAATAAGTGACATTGAATTATTTTTGTTGACATGCAATTTAAATTTAAATAATTTTCCTGGATCCGTGAAGGAGAGGTTCTTAAGTATTCTCGAATGTTGAATCCAAATATGACCTCTCATTTTTTCCACCCTCAATTCTGCCGAAGAGGCGGTATTTTTGCAACAATTTTCGTAGAAAACAGTTTTCAGAAAAAAGGTGGATGATAACGAATTTCTCAGGCCATTTTCAGGGTTTTCAGCTTAAGTTACACTACAATCGATAATTACACATGCAGAAAAATTTTAAATTTCCCTGGAACTAGGAATGGTCCGGAAAAGCTTTCGGCCTGGAAGAATCGGCCCTTCTAGAAGGCAGGGAGGTAATCAAAGATAAGTGGAGGCCCAATTCGGGTTCGGGGACAATATATATATATATATCACAGTATATGTGACTCACCGAAAAACAGTTGAGTTTTAGTGAAAACAAGGTGGTACAATTAAATTAAGAAAGATTTTTCGTCGAAAAATGATGATTTTTCGAAAAACTGGCAACTAAAGAGCCTCGATGCAAGGGGAAAGAGTCAAAATTTCGAAAAAAGAAAAAACACATATACATTTATTCTGCATGTAGCACATTTTTAGCCTTACCTGCCAAGCGATTTCCAAAATAAGTGTTTTTCGCTTCGCCCTAACCCTCCCCCCCCCCCAAATAAGTTGACGGCCCTCTTTTGATCTCTTCCGAATAAGTTAATAAAATTTGCTTCTGTTCCCTACATTTTCTGATTGGGTCCTAAAGGGTGCCAGTTAGCATCTTTCATGGTTACCTCGTCATCTTGGAGATGATTAAAAAAAGAAGGTACACCTCTAAAAATTCACTCTAGCCTCTTCTGATTGAAGGAGAAAATTATTTCGCCACAGCAATGCTCTATTGAGAAGACTTGACAATTGAACAACTTAAGTGTTTATTATCACATCTGTGCGCAAGGTCAATGTCTGATTTTCACTTTCCATGAGGAAAATAGAGTTCTAAGCGCAAGAAAAAAAAAATATTAGATAAAATCTTCAAGTTTGATTATTCTGACAAAATGAAGAGTCAGACAACCCAAGATTAGAGAAAAAACAGAAGGAAGAAAAATTAGTGCTGAGAGTCTTCACAGATATTGCATTTAGTTAACCTATTATCAGAAAGGAAAGACAAACTCAGAGAAAATTTACCCTTCCCTGTAACATTTGTTAAGTACTGTTTCGAAGACATAATGTAATATAGCTTGTTTAGTATAGTAAATTCACGAACATACCTGGTCTGCTCCAGCATCCAAGAGAAACCTGACCATGGCCAGGTGACCTTTGTAGCATGCCAACGTTAATGCCGATTCCTTAAACTCGTTTGAGTGAGTGTTAATACCCGCTCCATGATTTAAAAGAATCTGATAATTCAAACAAACGGAGAAGATTGATAGAAATATTAAAATAAAAAATAAAAAGTTTTCTAAATACGAATCCAGTATGAATGAAATGAATTAAATGGTGTGCGAAAGTATCAGCAATTAAAAACCTTGGGTTACGTAAAGCTTGACATTAGCTTTGCAGAACACAAAGCAAGGCCCCTCTTTATTGCTACTTCGTCCCGTAATGTGGAATACCTAAAGTAATAGGGAATTGATCAGTGTTACAATTCAACATGGAAAGTAGAACTTTTGGAAATCGGTAAATTAGCACACACGGCACAGCACCATGCTTTTTGATGCACTTGTAATTCTTACGGCTAATCAATGCAAAAGCATCATATCTGTTAAGTTGATTCTACAGAATTCAGCTGATGATTCGCAACCTCGTAGGTGAAGTCCTTTGGCATGATCGTTACCCCGCTGCAATTTCATTGTCTCCGCTCACTCTCATCCTACTCTCAAACTTAGCTGATGGTTTGCTGCTTTGTGGGTGAGTCTTGTGGTACTTTAGTTACTTGCCTGCAATTTTGTCTTCTACGCTGCCACCTTTCTAGAGTTAAACCAAAAAGATTTCCTGAATATTTTTAATAGTTGCAACATAAAATTTCAGGTTGATCAAACTAAAATTACAGTTTCGAAATTTCACATTGGAGTTATTTGTGGTGTTGCTCTCGCACATTCTCTGATGAGTATACAATGGGGACAAGAGTGAGGATGCTTACTTTGGCCACTTCAACATAGCCAGCACTGGCTGCTTCCATCAACGGCGTGTGCCCATTTTCATTGTGATCTTCAACATTGGCACCTGCCTCTAGTAACTCCCGTACAACTAATTCATGTCCACCAGCACAAGCATACATCAATGGTGTGTTACCTGCAGTCATTAACAGTTTTTGATGTGATTAATAACTAATTAGAATTATGCTAGAATAGAAATAGGGTAATATGATAAAACATGAACCTAAATGACACCTGTTCTGGATAAATCAGGATGAGTAGTGATACACTGAGTTAATGCTGTATGGATTTGGATAAATTAGAAAGGATCTACAGAATTAGAGGTTTTTGTTGTTAGTGTTGATAGGTGTGTTGCTGTGCTTTTTGTGTTTGATGTGATTGTTGTATTCAGTGGGTTTCACGTTTCAGATGTGTTTTGTGTACCTGCTATATCTGATGTGCCTGACATGTTCGTACATAAATCCACCCATAAATATGTTGTCTTAATTCAAATTAAATCATCCGTCAGTTTAAATTAATCTCAGTTCATAGTCAACCACAGGGGTACAGCAAGTTCTTAATCTTCCCCACTTTATAATTTGTCTTCCGCACAATTTGCTGCTAGGCTATTATTGCGCCTCAACATAAAACAAGGCGCCTCACAGCTTCCTTACCCAAAACAAGGTAATCACAGTATTAAGAGAATGAAATTCCTTCCCTATCTCCCCAACACATTTGAAGAAATTCTCTGGCAATTGAAGATATGACAGGTGGTTAAGAAGACACAATTGAAAATAGTTTTCAGACAATTGGTTGTTTGAAACCTCAAAACCTGCTTTAGAGAGCAAATTAAGGTGAATAAACAAATTTTCCCTGACAATTTCGTCATTTTCCCTGACATTTGCCGGTTCCGCCTGACTTCGTAAAATTGTCTGACATTTCCCAGTATTCCCTGACTGTGGCAACACTGTTACAGGTTCCTTCCCCAAAATTAGCTCGCTTAAAAGACTTCCAGCACATAAAACAACCCGCTTAAAAGTTTTCTTCCCCAAAAGCAGCACACTTGAAAGCCATCTGGCACAAATATCAATGCCCTTCCCTGTTTTTTCCTCAAAAACTAGGGGGGAAAAACCGGTCTTCCCCGATTTTTACAAATTTTCACAGCCTTCCCCAATTCTCTCTCAAGCTGCCTTGTCATCATGATTGCGTGATTGAGAACATTCTGCACCCCTAATCAACAACAGGGTTGCCACAGATTTAGAAAATAAAACATTCCTCAGATTTCCCTGTAGTGTATCGGTAAAATTTTCCAACAACTGAAGATATGCCAGGTGGTTGAAAAGACATAATTTTAAATGATATTCACACAAATTCTGTTATTCAAAACATCAAACCCATTCTGGAGAGAAAATAGAGGTGACTGGACAAATTTACTCTGACACTTACTTCATATTCCCTGGAATTTCCAGATTTTGTAATGCTCCAACATTTCCCGGTATACCATGACTGTAGCAACCTGCAATCACGGTTTTTTTTCTCTTTTCCCCTTTCTTTCAAATTTTCAATGAGAAGTACATATGAATGGACGTTTCTAAAACGAAATATCTTGCAGATGCACTTAAAGGAAGCGATGCTTACATTTTAATGCTCGCAAGTCTGACATATATGAATGGGGAAAAGATAAATGGGAACATGAACATTTTAATCTCATCATGAATTTTTGCATGTTACAACTTTGAGTCTACAAAATGGCATTTTTCAAGACATTTTCAATTTTTCCAGGATTCACAGATTTTAACCCTTCTTGGTCGACTGTCAGGTGGGACCCAACAAAATGTTTGCCATGTTCTAGTCAGAAGTCGGGCCTGACCTGACATTAAGTTTAGTGAGCTTTGCAGTCGTATACCAGGCACCAAGCCCAAGTCCACTCGCTTAACAAACCACAACCTCTCAATAAATAAGCCAAAATTAATTGCGACCTTGAGGGAGGGGGGGGGGGCGAACACAGACAAATAATCGTGACCACAAAGGGTTGAAAAAAAAAACAAATCAAGACTTACCAGAGGAGGACTGAGCATTGACATCTGCTCCATGGGCAATAAGGAGCCTTACTATGTCTACGAATCCTGCAGACGCTGCCTCCATCAAAGGAGTGCAGTCTCCTTTCACACCTCTATCTTCTACGTTAGCATGCATCGCAAGTAGCACCTGGAACAATAAACACAAGACTTGTTGGGGACGAGATATCATTTAGGGTGTATGCTGACCCGTGGCCTTTATGGTGCCTTCTACTGTAGTCTTTCCATCCGTATCCGTTTGGTAAAGAAAAACTGCGCCATTTCCTTAGGTGCACTACTCTTTTCAATTCATGAGCTTTTAGTGATTGATGTAAATAAACAAGGTAGTCACACAATTTTAGAGTAACAATAATGAGTCCGATGCACACAACAGATGCAGGTAGACTTGAAAGTGGTGAAATCCTTCGGTGCGCTACTTTTTTTTATACATAAAGCTGACGCACTGTGGATCGAAACCTGCTAAAAGTCGAACATAGACGTTTCTCACAAATAGTCACTTCATTGATGTAGATGTTTTCTCAAGGAGTTATACTGTATGATACCGGTATTGATTTTCAATTTTTCAACCCCTAATTTAGCCCACACAGCCTCTTAAGGTGGCTCAGACGGCACTCGAGAAATGTTGCCTCATTTGGGACAAATCGTTAGCCTGTTGGTATTTCCTCCCAATAGATTTATGACAATTTCTGACGAAGGAAGCTTCTTCTCCTCTTTAAGTTGAATATACTGATAACATTTTAAAATATCGCCATTTTTATGCGCGGTATTCTTGCTTAAGTATTTCCCTCAAAACCATAAAAATAATAATATAGTTAGACTTTTAACTACCTATTTACGCGTATTTACGCAAAACCTTTGTAGAGCAAAGTAAACTGATCCCTGGAGATCCAGTATCAAGAAAAATTGGCTGCCCCAAAGTGTCATTTTGGGAAAAAAGCTCACATGATTCCGAAAAAGTGAAATTCATAAAATAGTGGCTCGAAGAAATTTGAATTCCATAGGTCTGCAGCGAATAAGCACCGGACATTTGATAGGTGATCTATTTGTAATTTTTAGTGCTGAGTCCAAAATTGACCTTTGCTTTTCTCCTACACCCACCGATTTTCCGGAAAATTGAGATTTCCCTCTTAAAATGGACCTTACGAAAATGTGATTTTCTGGAAAACTGGTGCATGCTGAATTGAGACCAATTTCGAATCCAGGAGAGAAAAATACATGAGAAAACATGTCATGCATGGTTAAAAAATTTCCCTGTTGTTTCAGAATACGGGATTTTTCCACAGACATTGAATAGAGTAGACCATACGCTGTGAAATGGAGCGATGGCCACTTCTCTTCCATTCGCATGCCGCACCGATCGATGAGTGCGGGAACACCGAAACGGCACCAGTGAGGTAGTGAGCCCCAGCCGTCCCCAGCTCGCGGTAAACGAACAGTGCGCTTATACGAGGTTGGTACAGTTCGGCTCCGAAATCTTTAATTATTAATTGATTAGTGCAAATATTTTCGGCTGATGTGTTCTTTAATTATAATCAAATGTTTCTGTGTGAAGATGTGTTTTAGTTTTCATGATTAAACACCACACAACTCTCAATTTATGGTATGCTTACATGAGCAAATTCTTGATGACCCGGGCAAGAGACAAAAATGGTTATGTCCCGATGATAATTTTTAAACTTTGACTACATTTAGCCTTAAGGAACTAGTATTTTTGGTTCATTTGTTTTATTTCCTATCTGCACAGGAAACTAATACACCACACAACAACGGATCATGAACTAATGGCACATTTTGTTCTTCCTAAAATGAGCCAGAAATAGCAGTTCTTCATTGAAAATTGTAGTCAACTTAGTGTCTTCAATTTCAAAATAGTGTTGTTTCAGTCTGTGATATTTATTTGTGATAAATGTAATATTAATAGTCCAGGCAATAGAGCTCAAAATAGGAGGTTTGAGGGAAAGTTTAGTCGAACTAGCAATTATGGGCTAACTTCATGTTTTTTGGGTCGTAGAATCCGAATTTCGACTTGCCTGACAGATCCGACCCTCCCCCCGGCCGCCATTTTGAAAAAACGACTAAAATTTACGGTTTTTCCCCATTTTTCGCTTATAACTTTTTTTCTGTTCGGAATATTGAAAATCCCGCCACTTCTGTTGAAAGATGATTCAATTTGCAAGAGATTGGTAAACACATATGTACACTTAACGTGAAAATCGCGAGAATGGGAGCGCGAAGAAGGCAGCGGGAGATATCGATCTTGCGCCATTAGATACTCAACACCCTGCAATCCTGCATCCTTGCAACCCTTTACGTGTAAGTCATATTAAACAAGCAGTTATGCAATGTATTATTTTATTAATCCCATTACATAAATGACTGATTACGGATTTAGACAAAATCAAAAATACTTTCAAAATGTGGACATGTTCGATAAGTAAGTGAGTTAGTCCAATCGTTGGCGTTTGGCAGCTCGGTGCAACGAAGTTCTAACTTTCGGTGACGGACAGGTGTTGATGGGCCTGGTTCCCCTTCATAGACATCACGGCCGGCGTTGATCTCCGACTCTAACACAGTATCCAGAATATGAAGCTAGAGGCCAGACGAAAAAAAAAGGAAAGGAAAGGAAAGAAAAGAAAAGAAAAGAAAAGGGAAGGAAAGAAAAGGGGGAAAAAAAGGAACCTAAATTGAAGGAAGATTAAAATTTTCGCATCACTAATCCCAAATAGAAAAAGCATTCTGGTTTCCTGTATCAAGCAGTCTGGTGTTCATATATGGTGTGTATTAGAGTCCCTTTATACCCAGAGTTACGACAACTCGAACGAGCAACGAGTGCACCAAGATGGCGGTACCTCGTATGTGAACAAGAATAATGAAAATATTACCCAATGTGGTTTATCAAGAGTAAATTGTTATGTCCATCGGTCCAAAATGAAAATAGATTAAGAAATTATTCACAAACCAATCTCATTTGATTTTTAATTGATCAGTTTGTTGATGTTGTTGTTTTTGTGTGAAAGACATCGCAGGATTCCTGATCCTTATCCCTCAATATCGTTCGTTTGGGTGCACTCGTTTCGGCCTCCATGGCCAGCCAAGGCCGGCTGTCAGTCAGCTGATAATCGAGTTGTCTTAACTCTGGGTATAAAGGGACTCTAA